TCTTATCTTATCTTATCTTATCTTATCTTATCTTATCTTATCTTATCTTATCTTATCTTATCTTATCTTATCTTATCTTATCTTATCTTAAGCAGCATGTCTCATGACATTTGCATGTTCATCCTAACAATACTGCTGATGATAGTTCTGTTACAGAAACAGCCACTAAATTAGGAACACTGGCTGATGGATTTAAAGATAAGGTTTGATAAAGACGTCTCACATCAAATGGCTTCTTAAACAACAGTTTCTCAAAGATTAACGACCAATGCTATTTCATATTTCCATGTGTAAGAGGTTTATTGAACTGACTGATAGTAACCGCTCTGTCCAAAGAGACTGATCCCGGGCCTGGGCTGTGATTATCGGGTGAGGAATCAGGGAAACAAAGGAGGGTGTGGGGTAACTTGGAGGACAGACGGTGGTGTAGGACAGGTTTAAACTCCAGGTGACCACGGCTGTCCCGTACAAGGACACAAATGGAACAGATGTTATTGTTCCCGCCTTGAAAGGTATAAAAGGACGGACTGTTGGGTGTGGGCCTCATTTGGGTTTAATAGAAGCTTTAGTTTCTTACTGTTTGAATAATTACTTAGAAACCTGCAGACATATCAGTATAAAATAATGTGCAGCTGTAGTCACCTCTCAGCGCAGGGCAGCTTCTCCCCAACTTTTACCAGTTGATGCACATCCTCATACAAAACTCTGTGAACTGCCGGGGCGGTTACTCTCTTTTGGAAAGTCTGACTGCAGCTGCTTTACAGCCTTAACAAAAGAGATCCATGTACATGATAATATGCAATCATTCAATCTTCTAATAAATAAGAAGTGTGCTACTGGTGATTCCTCGAAGTGGATAAATGAACACGCAACACTGCTATTCCCTCCTCCCACAATAATCTATAGATCAAAGATTATTGTGGGAAGAGCAGAGGCATGGGTTGTAGCACTATCACACGGTGTGAACACAGTCTACACTCGAGCAGCTACAGTAATGAGGTCGGTTGACCCAAAACCTCGAGGCACAGCATTTGGGAAACACTGATGCACTCTGCTCAACTAAAAACAGCAGATGTAGCTGAATGATGCATTATCCTGCACGCTGCAGCCATCATGCAGAGCTGGTGCGATTGTCTGCATAAGAAGGAAAGGACACATCAGTGCTTCCTTTAGTACCTCCTTTAGCAGAGAAGACATTGTAGCATTCTTGATGAAAGCAAAGGTGATAACACCATCCCAGATTTCACAGTGACAGACAGACCATCCCTTTCAGTCTGTTGCCTGAAGCTGCTTTACACTGTACAGCAACGCTGCTGCAATATTACTCTCAGCAAACGGATCGATGATGCTGGAACTTGCCTCTCGTGCCCCGCACGCCTGTATTTTAAAAACTAAAAAACTGTTTATCAAAACCTCCTGCTCGTACAGTTGTTTCCTGTCTGAAGCACAGGTTGTAATGCAGGTGTAACTCGTTGGTTATGTCCTCAGGTGTAGGATCATCACGATGGACAAAAGGCAGAGTGAAACTGGATCATCTTCTCAGCAGTAAGAGGAACAGGAACCGACAGCTGAGCCAGATTTAATTTCACCGTCACTGGAAATGAGTCTTATTCATTTTTGAGCCTCTGTAATAAAGAGCTGTTTTTCTCTGGACTGTCCTCATGTGTATAACACAAAACTGTGTCGCCACATGGGGTCAGCAGCAGGACAGTTTCAGGTCACCAGAGATAAGGTCCAGCGTGAACTCTCGATTTGAACTAGACAGAAATCACACATCAGGCATGACTCGCTTCCTTTCTCCTGTTAACTGTCTGTGAAGTTTGCTTTATTCTCTAGTGATAAGAGTTAGAGATGCACAAAATGCACAGTCAAAAGAAAATCACTTAAAAGATGCAGTTTATGCAGAAAAATAAAACTGAGCTTCAGTTCGATGATTGAGTCTAAATCTGAAGATCAGAATGAAAGAAAAGAAACATCCGTACAACACTGTGTCAGCCGTTATGTGATTTGTAGTTTAATGCACATTTACATCTAAACTCAGAACCACAGAAGCAGGCCAGTAATCTGATGAAATGAACATGTTTATGATGCAGAATGTCACAGGTCGTCTGTATTATTCACCATCAGTCCATCCATCTGGTCCATTCTAGCGATTACATTCGCTGTGGCGCCACCAAGTGTCGACAAGTGTTCAGTGCAAGCCAGGGCTTTCTCCGAGGTCTACCAGACGAGAAAAGAATAATAAACATCTGTTCATGTGTGTCAGTGCGTGTCCTCACTGGAGGATCTCCCTGCTACAGAGAACACAGAGACACCCAGGAGTGATTGGACAACCAGAACCCAGGATACACAGGTTCAGTGAAGGTGGTGTTGAAGGTGTGGAGGTGGATCAGTGAGTCAGAGGAGATTCTGTAGAAGGACAGCATGCCAGCAGGCCAGTCCACGTACACTGCTATTCTGTCGAGGACAGAGGAGGAGGAGACGCGTGTTCCTCTGTTATTGTGCATTGCATAGTACCCAACATGAGAGCACCTTAGACTCCACGAGTAGTTATTGTCTCCAAACCGAACCCTCTGGAAAGTGTTTCTGTTTTCTCTGTAACTCACTGCTATGTCAATCACTCCTTCCCACTCCACCTCCCAGTAACAGCGACCAGTCAGTCCACTGGTACACACCATTTGCACAAAGGAGTGAAACCTCTCTGAGTGAAAAGGATATGGCTGCTCTTCCATCACACGTGTCAGCTTCCTGTTGTTGTCAGAAAGTTTGAGGTTTCTGTGTAATGTATTTGTGTCCGGTACAAGTGCACAGAAATCTGATGGAGAGAGGAAACAGCAAACACTTTATCGTCTGAAGCTTTTACGTGCTGCTTTATTCACACGCTGACTGTTAATAAGAGGAAAAGTTAAGGAGTTTATTGTTTGGATCTCCAGTCAGACTGAGAATGAATGCACACACACACATTTCTGATTTAAATAAGTGAACACACACTCACACTTCTTCAGACCGGGTCTCAGCCTCTGCTCTCCACAATGTTCCAGCCTGGAGGAAGAAACAAAGTCTGATTAATATTAGGGTTGTCAAAATCAACGTGGATTCGTCACGATTAATCCGATTAAAATTTTTAACGCAATTAACACATCTGCAGCGCTGAATGACTCAAAATCCCTGAAATGTCTCTGTCAGCGCATTTGGGGCAGTTTGTCCAAGTAGAGTTACCTTTGCACATGTGCAGTAGATCTGGTAGTGACGGGCAGCAGAACCAACCAAATCAATATGGATGATGACAAACAGCACACTGGCCCTCTTGTGGGAAATTTGAGTATAAAAAGCAACAAGACGGAGCAGTCGACTCCGTATTCTCAGCTTAGGGCGATCGTGGCTCAAGAGTTGGGAGTTCGCCTCGTAATCGGAAGGTTGCCGGTTCGAGCCCCGGCTCGGACAGTCTCGGTCGTTGTGTCCTTGGGCAAGACACTTCACCCGTTGCCTACTGGTGGTGGTCAGAAGGGCCGATGGTGCAATATGGCAGCCTCGCTTCTGTCAGTCTGCCCCAGGGCAGCTGTGGCTACAACTGTAGCTGCCTCCACCAGTGTGTGGATGACTGGGTGTGTAAAGCGCTTTGGGGTCCCTAGAGGGGACTAGTAAAAGCGCTGTACAAATACAGGCCATTTACCATTAAAACATTAACGCGGAGCTTACATTAGTCAGAGATGCTGCTAGCACTTTGGCTAGCGCGTCCCCTCACAGAGCGTCGGGAACTCAGTAAGTCTACCTCGGACAAACTGACTGACACAATTACCAAGTGAATTGCAACAAACTGCAGATCTATTAATATTGTTGAGGACACAGGCTTTACAAAGGTGTTGCAAGTTGCCTCTCAAGATGCATTTCACAAGTCTCCAACAAGAAGCACAATAATGTCAAAAATTCATCAGCTGCATGAAACTGAAAAGGAGAAAAAGCACAAGCCTTTAGCTTTAGCTGTAGCCAAACACGTCGCCCGACAGGAGACTGCTGGACTTCTGTCAGTAACAGTAAGTATCTTGGTGTTACTGCTGCTGGGAAGTAAAGTCATTTGCATTGAGAATAATGAAGACAGAGGAGAGGAGAGTTTTTGATCTTAGTCAAAAATCTATCCATCAGCTTCAGCGTGTCCAGAACTCTGCTGCTCGTATCACCACCAGGACTCCTTCTATGCACCACATCACTCCTGCTCTGCAGCAGCTTCACTGGCTTCCAGTTAAATACACATTCAAGGCTACCCATCATCTCTCGCCTTCATACCGCTCTGACCTGGTTCAGCTCACCATCCCTTCTCCGTGTCTCACATCCTCCTCCTCTCTTTCTCTTTCCGTCCCTTCCCCCCGGCTAGCCACCGTGGGGCCCCCATCATCCCTTCCTCCTGAGATAAGAAACATCACTTCCCTCCCTCTTTTTAAGTCCAGACTCAAAACTCACCTGTTCACATTAGCCTATTCCACATACATTTGTCCATCCTGCTACTTTAATTTATTTTATTTATTTGCTCAACGTTTTATCCTTATTATGTTTGTTCCTGTTATTGCTTGTGTACAGTGTCCTTGACTGTTTTGAAAGGCGCTTTCTTAAATAGAATGTACTATTATTATTATTATTGTTATTAATAATAATACCAAGTACCGAGGTAGTGAGTAACTATGTAAGCTGATAACTAACCTTCTCAGTTATTTTGCAGCAGTGTTGAAAACATGACTGAAATGAATGTAATGAGTGAGGACAGGGACTCAGCTCATCAGTTTACTGTCAGTCTGCACTGTTGGAGCAGACGGTGAGTTGAAAGGCGTCAGCCTGCCAGTGTGCTGTTCATACCAGAGAGTTTCAAGTTTCCACTGAGGATCCTTCAGCACAGCAGAAAGAAGCTTTACTCCTGAGTCTCCTGGGTGATTGTAGCTCAGATCCAGCTCTCTCAGATGGGAAGGATTGGAATTCAGAGATGAGGCCAGAGAAGTACAGCCCTCCTCTGTGATCTGGCAGCCTGACAGCCTGGAGACACACATACACACACACACACACACACACACACACACACACACACAC